GCTCAGTTGGTTAGGTGTCCGACTCTTGGTTTCTGCTCAGGGTCATGAAATCAAGCTCAGGGTCAAGAGATCAAGCCCCGCGTTGGGCTCCCCACTGGGCATGGAGCCTGCTTAAAATTCTCTCTCTCCCTCCCCCTCTGCCCCTCCCCCCTACTCACATGTGTTTGCTCTATCTCTTTCAAGAAAATATGTATTTTAAAGACACTATCACTATTCTGATAAGAGTGAAGAGAACAAATCTGGTCAACTAATGGATCAGTTGGCTGTCTTCCACCAAGAGATTAGGCCCAAGCCTAATTCAGCTGCTACCTTACAGTCAGTTCTAGTGAATGAGAAACTTTATCAATTTAGGATCCCCAAAATCAGAGAGAAAAACATAAACCAAACAGCTTTGGAATCATGGGACATAAGGGGGAAAAATGTAAGTTTATATGAGACAATTTTAGTATTACAGTCTAAGATAAATTATCTTCTTTCATTAGTGTTTGAAAAGCAAACATCTACTCAATAGACATTTCCTGAAGCATCTTTAGTTTTCTTGGTTTTCTTAGCCTAAGCTGCATAAACCCAGTCCTCTGCTCTATTTGTTGGAAATGATGCCTACCCACTGATGGTCAATCTACACACCATTACTTTTGAAGGGCTTTGGAGAAAACAAAGTTCACCAAAAATCACAGAGGTTTTCTTTTACTTTGTTTTCTTGCATTAAAATTGGATATTTTGTAATATAATATACAGTATATACCAAACACATCTATTTTATGTTACCCTGCTGGGAGGGGAAAGTGCATTGTTAGGTTAACATTGATACATCTACATTGCCTATGAATACCAGGAAGGAAACTGTTCTTCCATAGACAACAGATAGACTCCTAATCTGATGGGAAATGAATAATGAACATGGCCTTTTTATCACAGTTTTTCAATCTCAACTTGTCCTACTCATGAAATATGTAGGATATATCCTCATAGCTTTGGCATACACTCACTTTGTTGAAGGATTAATTGTACATTTTCAGGTTACATACTATAGGCTTGAGTACTTTAGTCTGTCTCACATTGTGTTTGGTTAAGCTTTATCTATAATATGCTTATTCCTCAGTTATTTCACTTGACAAAGTTTTCAGTAAGAAGAACATTAGTGATGTAAATTTAGCTATTGGTCTGAAACTTTGGAACATTCAGGTATTTCTTGGATGATGTGCTTTGTACATAGTTGCTGAATAAATGATTGCATGAATGAATTTTAGATCAATACAGTAATGTGTTTAATCCATTTACTGTAGGACTCAGTAGGGAAGGTTTTGAGATGAATGTCAAATCAATTTATATTCAGAAAAAGCATAAAGATTATTGCTGTTATGACAGTGGAGAAACCTTGACATTGGTTTGAACTGGTAACCTGATACTCAGAATGTGCAGAAGCATGTTAAAGCTGGGCCATGAATTCATATTCTCTTTTCATGACAGATTGGAATATTGTTTTAGTTTTCATCATGCTTCCTCCATAGAATGCACATTTTTATATAACTGTGTCCCTCTCCAACTTCACGTTATGATCAGGACACTCTCTGTAATATCAGAATCTTTTCACCTTCACATGGGGCATATTTCAAAGACAAGCCTTTGATGATCAAAGAGAATACCCAACTATGGTAGATTTGGAAGTTACATCTTGGGACTGACATCTCAGGCTTTAATGCTGCATTAATTGTTGATTTTTACAAACAAATAGAATTTCTTAATGAATTCTTAGATCATGAGGATATATTAGACACTGTAGGCTTTCTTATTCACTATCATATGTTACATCATACATTAAGAAAATGAAAGCAGAGAAAGATTATGACAAATCATGTTCTCCCCATCATCTAATAAAATGTGTTTTCCAGTATCTCATATCCCCAGCAAGTATACAAACATAGACAGATGCCTACCCCCTTCTTCCTTTCTTTGCTTTCCAAAAAGTCAACAGGCAAATTGGAAAGGAAAGCCACTATTTGTTAACAAAGCCTTCCACATGATCTCAGGTGAGTACCTATGTTTTAAACTATTGACTTTTTGGAGGAGAGGCTCCTGTTTTTGCCATCTAAAGTATTCTAGTATCAGTAGTGTTGGGAGAATAAGACTAGTTATAGAAGTGAATTTGGGGACACCTGGGTGGCTCAGTCAGTTAAGCATCTGCCCTTGGCTCAGGTCATGATCCCAGGGTCCTGGAATCGAGCCCCACGTTGGGGCTCCCCACACCTGCTCAGTGGGGAGCCTGCTTCTCAACCTCCCCCTCTGCCCAGCGGGCCCCATCCCCGCTCGTGCTCTCTCTCGTGTGCTATCTCTCACATGTGCTCACTCTCTCTCTCAAATAAATAAAACCTTTAAAAAAGTGAATTTGGTTCAGTCTGGGTCTCCTACAACTTTCCAATCATCACATGGGCATTCACTTCCTCCACCTACATCTCCAAATAGGAAATACAGTCACTCTCAAATCACCCAAATTACTTTTATCACCTCTGACAGCAATAATATGTAACATTTGCTTTCTCATAAATTTGATATCAATTATGTGCCCTTACCTTATGAGGGCCATGCCAGATTTTTACCCATTAGTATTTAATACTATAATTATAGAATTTTTATTTTAAAAAATTCACTGATTCTCAGTCTTTGTCTCAAAGAAGACATGCATTTGAGCATGAAAAGTTTTCATCATTAGATTGCAAGCTATTAAGAGTGTGAAAAAAGATGAATATATATATTCATGTCATATACATTTATAAACATGTTATCTTCTAAATTTCATTTTCTGCCTGATCCATACAAATCTAGAGTATATTTTGTACCTAAAATAGTTTTAATATAAATGCAGAAAATTGTAATTTGATCACAAAATCCAGATTAGTCATTGTTGCCATTGTTGCCATTGTTTCTAATGGCATTTTTTCACCATAAATAAGGTTGTACGTTGACATTTCAAAAGTACGTGGTAACCTTTTCAGAATTGCTTCCTCTTATCTCATTAACATAGGGATCAGTTCGGTACCAAAAATATATAAAGAGAGAGAAGGGAAAGAGGGAGGAAATGTAGAATCACTCTCTCTTGTGCATGTCAAGAGCTAGATTTGGGTCCTGAGCCAGTGTTTATCCTGTCTTCCAAAAACTCCAATGTCCTTTCCTCAGTTCATTTTCACCTGAAAGTTTATTTTCTCATACAAATGCTACCAATAAGTGAATCCTGATACCACATCATTTAATGCTATGAGTCTGGGTTTTTTTAATGTGGTACTTGTCTTAAATCTAGTGGGCTGTGAGTGATGGTATGGGAAGCCAGTGGCATTCCTGAGCGCAATGCCAGTTGACCTTAGTGTGTAGGACCACCAAGGCACAAGCCCTTTTTTGAGCTGAGACAATCCTCTGAGAATGGTACCATCATTCTTATATTTGGTGGCTTTTAACACTGAATGTTTAAATACTAGCAAATCATTGGTAACCATTATATTATAATCTCATTTTAAATGTTGTCTAAGAAGTCCCAAATCAATCTGTATGCAAACTAGTGACATCTAAGTAATAAGCCCTTTATCTAGGAATGTTATCTTCACATTTTTGCTGAATTGTGATCTAGATCACAAACTAAATAATGACTTTTTTAAATGGTATCTTTAAAAGAATACCCAAGTAATCCTTCACTCAGAAATTTCTCTGAATAGAGAAAATGCCTTTCTTTCTCACCTCTCAGTGATATTATTGCATTTATAAGGCACTTTAAGCTTATGGCTAGTTGGCTCAATGCAGTCATATGCGATGTTAACAAGGCCAAGGTCCATTCTCCCCATGGGACAGGCAGGATGTGTTCTTTGGGCATCATCATTTCAGGGAGGATATGGTTAGTAGCTTGGGAGCCCCAACATCTACCTCTGAACAAAGCAGTCCTGATACTTAGGCATTAACTTTGCATTATAATCCCCCATCATACTACTGGTTTGCTGTTTAACCTTTCATCACTAAAGCAGAAATAATAGGGTAGAATGAAATAGACTTACCTCCCAGGGATGTTGAGTGAATTAGCAAATTAACAGGTGTGAAGTGGTAGCATTTATGTAAGTGCTGGTGGTTGTCATTATTTTGAGGGACCTAGTCTTATTTTAAATAAAGAATCTAAGTATATTATGCTTTTGTCAGAAAGGGATTTTCACCCGCATCAATTGCATTTAAGCTGAGCATAAAACAGAGGTGATAATAACAAAGTAGTGATCATCACAATGCAGAGCTGTAAACCTTTTCTCTATTAAAGCTAAAACTCTTTTGAGCAACCATCAATGCTTTTAAACTTTGCTTTCCAAGCTTTGTGCCAACAGTTATCTCTACAGTGATTATTCTTCCTCTGATGGTTGAGGGGAATGGGACCTATTCATTATTCATTCCCATAATGACTTATATAATGTGTTGAATATGTTTACATCATACAATCAGGCAAAGATTCAGTAACTTGTTTGATTGGCACATATTGTCATCATTGTTAAAAAAAATAAAAGTTCTTTTCTGCTCTGCCTACCCTGGTGTCCTCTAGAGGTAGCCTATATACAGAATGTGAAAACTCATGGGAAAAAAAAAAAGAAAAAGAAAACTCATGGGGAATTGAAAATTGAAGTGCTTTCCAACAAAAGGCTCTGTACATAGATCCTTTCAATTTGACATCTTTACCAAGGAATTTTGTTGTCACCTGCAATTTCCAAGGGGACTGTGCTTGAGAGAATTCTTCCATTTCTTTCATCACTCTGATTTCACTTACCAAGAAAAGTTATTTATTGCTGATTGCAGGACTCTTGAACTCAGCCTGGGAGCTGCAGCATGACCTCCTCAGATCTGGGCTCCTTGTTACTTATTTACATATTCATTTGAAGTGATTTTCAGGACTATTCAAAAACCTCTCTTGACCCGACATTGTGTAATAGCCAAGATCTAAAGTTCACGTGTTTTTGGTTCTTTTTCTCTTTGTCTTACAGATAACAGACGAGTACCTTTGGAAAGGTCACGCTCTCGCCACAATGGAGCTGTCTCATCTAAGTGAATCCTGATGCCAAAGAATATGAAAATATTTAAGTAAAAAAAATCATATATTTTGAGAAGAACAAAATATCCACTCAAGGGATAGAGAGGAAATAAATGCATTTCTGCAAGGATCAAGCTAAGCTGGGTGAAATAGCATGTATTTTTACAGCTATTGCAAGATGCTTTCACAATTATACTAATACAAACACAATTACAAGGATTATAAAACATGTGTTCCATTTTAGTGTAAAGATGTGTATTGTTATTGTGTGTGACCTGATGGTAATGATGAAAAGTATAAGAAATTCAAAAACATTCAGTCTGTCAAAAAATTACAATGTTAATCAAATTGCAGGTCACCCCCCCAAAAAAAAGGAAAAGAAAGGAAATAGAAAGAATTATTCAATGTCTGCTTCTGATTCCTGTTACATAGAAAAAGGAAAGGCCAATGAAAATGTGTGTATTAATGATTTGGAGAGGTACTCTGCAAGAGAAGCCATTTTGGAAGCTAAAAAAAAAGTACTGCTTCAGCCCCATGAATTTATTTAGAATCTTATCTCAAGTGAAAGCTGATGGATTCATCTGCTTTGGCTGAAATTAAACTTATCATTAATCTAGAGTTTCAGCATGATGTTGCAGGCACTTATCATTGCTAAAAATAAACTAGAGTTTAACAGAAGCAGTTAGAGAAAGTGATTTAAATTTTATTTAAAGAGGTATTTTCTAATAATGCACATATATCTACTTTATACAAATACTTCATATGACTATTTTTTGAGAAAAACCTCACATTTTAATGTTTATTCTGGGATGAACCTGAAAATTCTATTACCTTTATTAAGATTTTTTAAAGGTAAATATTGATTCCTATTCTCTGTGGTTTATTTCTTCTATTGCTTCTTTCTCCCATGACCCCCATGAAAGCAGGGAATAGAGTTTCTAAAAGACCTGAGAGGAAAAAGATTTCTCTCTGCAGGCAGCAGAAAACTGTCTGAAAGGTCAACTGTTTTATCTGCCTTTCTACTCCCCTTTCTAATTCTGCCTTGGTGGTCTGAAGAAGAAAAAAAATTATATGTATGTATGTGTATATATGTGTATATGTTTATATCTCCTACAATAATTCCACATCCCAGTGACTAAGTGAACTTCTCAGTCATCATCATACTTACTTACCTTATATTAACAAATTAAAATGATGCTGCCAAAACAACCCTAGGAGAAAAAACATGCTCTACATTTTTCTTAAATAGATGAAGGCATAAAAGTTATATTTAACTTGTCTATTACTTTAAAATATGCATTGAAATAATGTGGTATAACTTCTCTGGAGTGTAATTTTAAAACTAATCCGTGCAGATGATTGTCATTACTGTAAAAAATTTCTTATATGTATATTTCTTATATAGAAGATCCTATTTCTACTTCTCCAAAGCACACTATAGACATTCAGAAAGAACAGACAACTGGCTTGGCAGGTCACCATTTGAAATAATGTAAACAAGTGACCAATAATTCAGTCTCCTTTATATAGATGTATAATGATTCGAACTGCTACCTTTTCCTCCAGTGCATTCTTACTTGGGTATGATATTTTAAAAAAATCTCTGAAGCTGCTACAATAGAGAAATCAAAAAGACTAACAGTATCTGAGATTTTACGGTTTTATCCTATCTTAAGACACACACATATGCATACACAAACAAGTTTGAGGGTCATATCAATTTCATACACTTTTTCCTAACAACAACAAAGATATACAAATTTATGTAAATAATTAATGTGTGTATTTTTGACTTCACAAAATCTTTTCTGAAATCTTCATGGCATGGTCTGAGTCTTTTGGTAGCCTTTCAGGCTGTAGGAAAATGATATTTTGAAATATTAACCCTGACTAAAATTTAGGGGCATTTGCCATGCCATATTATCAAGATGGTCTGAAAAAAAAAAAAAAAAAGATGGTCAGGATAGAAATACTGATGATACTATTCACCTCTTTGAAACGTAAACTTGCCTTATTTTTAAGTTTGTGAAAAAGAATGAATGAAATACTATTATTGATAAATTATATATTTGTATTTAGAGAAATCCCACATGGTTTTCACAAACAGTATGGAAACTTTCAGGGTCTTTCATGAAGTTCCAGTAATTGAGTTAAAGGATTTGCTTCCCAGATTTATAATGGTCCTGCTTTAGCCATTTGCAGTTTTGTTTGAGATTGAAAATTATCACCAGAAAAAGTACATAGTAACATTTTTAGTATAAAACCAAATTACACTAAAGTCTTTTGTTACCTTTATTACTGCCACGTGAGAAGCACCATTTTATGCAAATTTTCTTCAAAATGATTTTTAAAAATACAAAATCCTTAGAATGTTTAGAAGTTGCATTAGTTTCCTTTGGCTGCTGTAACAAAGTACCACAATCTTGGCTTAACACATCAGAAATATATTCTTTCATGGTCCCTGCGGCAAAATGTCCAAAATGAAGGGCTTTGCTCCCTCCAAAGTCTCTAGAGGAAAATCTTCCCTTGCCTCTTCCAGCATGTAGTGGCTATTGGCCTTCCTTGGGTTATGGCTACATCTGTCTCTGCTCCATCTTCACATCACTCTCTCCTCTGTGTGTCTAATCTTCCTATGCCTCTCTTATAAGATCCTTTTTCCTAATAAGGTTCCATTCACAGGTTCTGGGAGTTAGGATGTGGACATACCTTTTTGGAGGCACCCCCCCAGCCCACTACAGTCTGCCCTCTGCCCCCCAAAATTTATATATGTCCCATGTGCAAAATATATTTACCCCATCTCAACATTCCCAAAAGTCTCAACCCATTACAGCATCAACTCTAAATCTAAAATCTCATCCAAACATCATCAGTTCAGTAGTCCCAAATCCCATCATCTAGATCATCTAAATCAGTTATAGATGAAAATCCTGGGGCAAAATTCCTCTCCAAATGTGAATAAATGAAGCAAAACAAGTTATCTGCTTCCAAAACACAATGGTGGAACAGGCATAGGGCAAGAGTTATAGACATTGCTATTTCAAACCAGGGAAAATGGAAAGTAGAAAGAAGTCACCTGGCCTGATGACTCAAAATTCAGCCAGGCAAAATCCCCCTAGGTTTCTTGGCCTGACAATCCGCCTTGTTTCAGGACCCCACCCTTTAGGCCTGCAGTTCTGGCCTCTTGGCCCATGGATCAAGTCTCTGCCTCTGTACCTGCAGTTCTGCTCTAAGAATGACCCTTTATATTGAAGGGTAGCACATGTTTGCAGCTTTATCATCCTGTTTCTTGCCTGTAAAACTTTGGTAGTCTGACAACTTTCTCTCATTTTGTCCTGTCTCGATCCTTTTCAGGCCAAGCTAGAACTGTTTCTCAAAAACTTTGTGGGCCTCCCGTGCATGTCAAATTGATTCAATATTGAGATAAGAGTCCTCACAGATCTTTGCTGGATAATGCCATCTCTATTCTTGGCTTCTGTTGAGATGATCGAGTGGATCCGTGAGTCAATGCCTAATCTCTTCAACACTAGCCAGAGGTTGGCTTTATCTCCAGAGCACACTATCCTAATAGTGCATCAGCTAATTTTAGCGTCTTTTGGAATCTGAACAGGCTCAAAATTTCCTGAATTACCAAGCGCTGGTTCCTTTCTGCATAACAATTATTTCCTCAATTTACCTCTTTCTTCTTGTATTTTACTGTAAGCTCAAGAAGAAAATGGGGCCTACCTCCAACACTTTGCTTGGAAATCTCAGCTATTAAATATCCAAGTTCATCAATTACAAATTCTACTTTCCATATAACTGTTGGAAACAATTCAGATAAGCTCTTTGCCACTATATAACAAGGATCGCCTTCTTTCTAGTTTCCAATAAAATGTTCCTCAGTTCCTTCTGAGCTCACCAGAAGCACCTTTAACATTCGTATTTCTAATAGCAGTGTATGTTTTTTCTATCAAATGCCTCACAGTTCTTCCAGCCGGTACCCATTATCCACTCCAAAGCCACTTCCACATTTTTAGTTATTCATTATAGGAGTACCTTACTTCCTGTTTCCAAAATCTGTATTAGGTTCCTGTGGCTGCTGTAACAATACACAAAACATGGTAGCTTAACACAACAGAAATTTAAATTGAGTCCTAAATTGAGGTCTTGGCAGGTCTGTACTCCCTCTGGAAGCTCTAGAAGAAAATCTGGTCCTAGTCTCTTCAGTTTCTTGTGACGGTCATTCCTTCCTTGGCTTGTGGCCAAATCTCTCTCTGTTCTGTTTTCACATTACTTTTCCTTCTGTGTATCTAATCTACCTCTGCCTCTCTCTTATAAGAACACTTGTGGCATTTAGGACCCACCTGGTTTATCCATAAAAATCTCCTCATCTCAATATTCTTAACTGAATTAAATCTGTGAAGACCCTTTTTCCAAATAACGTAACATCACAGGTTCCAGGAATTAGAACATGGGCGTGTTTGGGGGAAGCAATTATTTAGCTCACTACACTAGTCATTGCACATAAATGTACTTTTCCCTTTTTAAAATGTGTTCTTGGTGCTTAAGCCAAACTCAAGGTTTCCTCTAAAAAGCTATTGTTTGTACAGGCTATGCATGCTTTGATGTTAAATAGCTGAGCAGGCTATTCCAAAATTTGGTTGATACTTTTGCTACTATGGCCAGTGCTTAGCTTGAAAAAATAATTGGTTCCAACTCTGAGCTCTGGTGTTTACCTTCTGCCCCTTTTATGGAGTCTTTGACCAAATGTCTTCTATGATTTATAATGCAGGCATAAAACTACCTCTGATACAGAAGGTTTCTTTACAAGCTAACTTTAGATATTGTCAATCCCTCAGCTGAAGGGAGAGGTGACAGCAAAGCCTGCTTTGAATGGGTATTGAGGGAGACTGTGCCCATATAAGACACCCAGAAGAAGTATTTCAGTAGCAATAGAACTGTGGATTCATGCTCTCGTTTTGCTTCAGATTAACCACCTGTCTCTTCACAGGACCAAGAATGACTTGCAATCTATATGTAATGCATACTCACTTATTAAATAAAGTTAAGATAATACATTAAATGTTGTCTGCCTATGATAATATTAAGGATGAGTGAAAAGGCATAAACTGAAGTATAAAGACAGGATGTAAGAATATTTTAGAAGGAGAAGTTTCAACTGAACAGAAATACAAGTGTTCCTTTTTTTTTTAAGATTTTATTTATTTGAGAGAGAACATGAGCAGGGGGTAGGGGCAGAGGGAGAGGGAGAAGCAGACTCCCCGCTGAGCAGGGAGGCAGACATGGGACCCAATCCCAGGACCCCGAGACCACAACCCAAGCTGCAGGCATACGCTTAACCGACTGAGCCACCCAGGTGCCCCTACAAGAGTGTTTCTTTAAGGACCTGGTCAGGAGGAAATCATGGAATATATTCAGACACACATACCTGTGGGAATCATAAGATTTTCTTTAGGTATTCTTTAGCACTTCCTGCCAGTGTAGTGTAGAAATGTTTGCACAACTTAAGAGTCCAGAAAAGTCAGAAGGGTGATTTATATCTTCCAGGGAAACTCTTTATACAGAAAAGAGTTGTTTTTTGGTTTCGGATTTTTTTTTTTTTTTTGGCTTGATTATAGAATGAAAGCAAATGGACTTCAACTGCTCAGAGGGGTAAAAATCTGGAATGAGTAATAAAGCATTGTATATAATTATTCTCTGGAGGGCTTTCAAAAGAATCTCTCGTCATGGGTGGGTTGACTTGAAGATGGAGGGTTAGACAAGGTAATAACCAGATCTATAAATTATATGATCCAAAGTACCTGACAAGACAGTTGTTTCCCATGGAATTTTGGGTTGCTCTAGGAATCAAATACATTAGCTTTTTTCTTTTCTCCCCCAGAGGCAAATTCCTTAGTAGGGAGTCTGAAAACCTTAGTATCCCCAACTAGAGGAATTTGAGCTTAATGCCAAGAACTCAAAGGAAAGTGGAAATCTGGAAATTGATATATATGCAATGCATGTAACATGGCATATAGTTTTGATTTAAATTAAAAGGAAATGTATAGCCAAAGATCCCATTTAAAGACTGAATTTATTTAGATGTCGAGAGTCCCAAATAAAATATTATTATAGTTAATATGCATTGTAGGAGAAAACAACTTGCAAATTCATGAATTATGTGAATCATGACTTTCTAGTTTTTGGAGAGTAGCCAAAATTCAATCTCAAGCCATGATGACCATATATCTTGACTAATAAGAGGTTCAGCCAATATTTTCACCTATATTTTGTCTAATTGAAGTCCAGACAATATTTTCACCTTTTGATGTTTATGAACAAAGCAGAAGAGCTCTTATCATATTATTAGAAATAATAATAAACCCTTAACTTCTCTGATTTGCTAAAGCCTCGTGTGTGGCTATTCTAATCATTGAGTGCCCATTCAGTGAACATTGCTTTTTCAGGGCATAATTATGAATTAAACATAGCTCCTGCCTTGAGGAGTCTCACAGTCTAGTGGGAGATGAGACATGTACAGAAAGAATTGTAATCTAAGGTGGAAGAAAGTGATCAATGTCATAAGAATGGGAGAGAGAGGGCCTATGGGAGTTAAGGAAAAAAACAGATCAGTTTTAGAGAGATGAGGTATAGGTATTGAGGTGGGAAGCAGGTATCAGTATAGACTTTTTGGCACAGTGATATTTCAACTGAAATTTAAAGGGTAAGTAGATTTGGACACACGAAGCTTTTATTTAGTCAGGTTTTTTTTTTTTAAGATTTTATTTATTGACAGCGAGAGACAGACAGAGAACATAAGCAGGGGGGAGCTGGACAGGGAGACACAGGCTCCCCACTGAACAGGGAGCCCGACATGGGGCTCGATCCCAGGATGCTGGGACCACAACCCGAGCCAAAGGCAGACGCCTAACGACTGAGCCACCCAGGTGCCCCTATTTAGTCAGTTTTTAATGAGCACCTATCATGTATTAACCACAATGCTAGACTCTGAGAACCTAACAGTGAACCAAATAGATGTGGTCCCTATTCTCATGAAGCTTAGGGTTTTTCTGAGTGAGGGAAGGCATGAGCAAAAGTACAAACTTTGATATGCATACACAGGGAATATTGAATAATTAAGTTTGACTAGAGTGTAAGGTCCATGAAAGGCAGCAGTGGTTGTGTATTTGGGGCTTGATTTTATAAATGATAGGGAAATACTGAGGGATTTTGAGGAAAGCAATGATAATGTGGCACTTAAGGAAGATGATGCTGGAAGCTCTGTGTAGGACAGAGGGAGAGGTCACAGAAGGCCAACTTCGTTGGAGACTATTGCAATACTTTTGATAAATAATGAGGGCCTAAACTAGGGTAGCATCAGTGGGACAGATCCAAGAGGCATCTAAAGAACTGGCAATTGATTAGATGTTGAGGGTATGAGGAAAGGAAGAATACAAACCTAACACGAAGGTTTTAGACCTGAGTTACTGATGGGCTACTTTCAACCAAAAAATTGAACACAAGAATAGCTCATCTTTGCAATGATACCATGGATATGCACAGCTGCTGCTCTGACACTTGATACAGTCCTATTATCTGTACGGTTGAATGGCTCACACAAGCCTTACATACAAGTAGCATCAAGTCATAAAGACAGAGCAGGCAGGAGAACATGAGTCTGAACAGGAACTTATTCAGTGATATAGTGATTATGGTAAGAAGGGCAAAGGTAGGCTCTCCATGTTGTGTTCTTTTTCTTTCCTTCTTTTTCCCTTTCCTATTTTTTTTCTCTTTTCTTTTTAATAATACTGAAAAGCACTGAATGGCTGTTCGAAGAAACAAACTGACAGATTGAGTGGCCATTAAAATGTACTCACTCAGTTTTGGACTCATACAGGAAAGAAAGGCATTTAGATGAAGTATAATTTATGGAAAAAGCTTTAATTAGTTCATAGCTAAAACTTCTCAAGTGTCTGGTTAATATTTTAAACCATACATTTAAGAGGTTCTGGAACAATTATTACTCTCTAAAAGAACAGCAAATTCTCCCATTTTACTATTTTCCCAGGAGTCTCTCAGACTTCCAAACTGTGCCCAAATCTATCCCCTTTATGCTAAATACCTTTCTACTCAAAGAACCATAAAGCTTCCCTTCTCAATACATTCAGTTGCTAGATACATGCAACACTGAATGACTTTATTTTAGCTAATATTCTTTTGTTTGGGAAGGGAACCTGTTTTATGAATCTGCTCCATCTCGCCCCTGCCCCCTAACCCCTAGCAAGTACCTTGTGTTATTGTCCTTCTGTTGGCCTACAAAACCCCAAATATCACAATAGGAATTAAATTGAAAATACCCAAATACTATGAATTTTCACTTTGAATAGTTTTTGGAAACCTATGGCATAGTAGCACAGTGGCCTAGACTTCCTGACAAAAATCAAGTAATGGAGTATTTTTCCTGGTTAAACAACTGGTAGCACTTATGGCGGTGCTTGGGGGAGGGAGGAAAAGGAATTGAAAGGGACGGGTCATGGATAAGGCCCCTCAGCAGAATTCAGGATAATGATAAAAATCATAGCATTTGTTAGATATCAGTGACTTTCAACTCTAGAGCATCTGGGATAAAAAGCTGACTTGCTGTGATCTTATAGTGTGTGGTACTTTTTTTTTTAAGGACTTTCACTTTTTTTTTTAAATTTGACAGAGAGGTAGACAGAGAGAGAGAGGCAGGCAGAAGGAGAGGGAGAAGCAGACACCCTGCTGAGCAGGGAGCCTGATGCGGGGCTTGATCCCAGGACCCTGGGAACATGACCTGAGCCGAAGGCAGACGCTTAACCAACTGAGCCACCCAGGTGCCCCAGGACTTTCACTTTTTGTGTCCATTATTCCATCATTTCCTTTCCTCTTAGTCTACAAGCGTCCTCAATAATCCTATCAAAGAACAGCAGCAACTTTCCCATGAATCTCTCTCCTTCAAGACTATCAGCTACTACCTAATTATCAAATATAAATTCCTCTTAATCCTCATCCCACTTAAATTCTCCCACTTTCCTACAATGAACACCTAGTCCTATCGCTTCCCACCACTCAGAAAATTTCTCAGTCCTCTTTTTTTTTTTCTCTAAGTCCTCTTTATTAGTGATTGTCTTCAAATAAATAAAGGCAGTATCTCCAGCATTCACTTGTATTCTCCCCAGTACCAGGGTCATCTTAGCCATTTCCATGGCTTTGACAATTTCCAACAAGCAGATGACTCTGCAATTCCTTCTGAACCCCTGAACCACCTTCAGTCTGTAAATGATATCTCACACACTAAACTCAGTACAGTCCCAACCAAATATGTTCTCTAGCAAACTGATCCTTCTATCTAGATCGCCCTTTCCATTATGTGTACTATATTGTCCTAGCCTCCAAGGCTAGAAACACCAGAAGCATCTTGTATTATTCCCTATCCTGTAATATCCAGTCAGGCACAGAAGTTGGTCACCCTGTTTCAGTTTTTACTTCTTCAACCTTTCATACCACTAGAGATTGCTTCCTAAACTGCCTTTCTTGACCCACTTCAAAAATTTTTGTTCTTCTTAATTACAAAACTAGTACGGGCTTCAAAATTCTCAGGAGCAGACTCAAATGTGACTTTCAAACCTCTTCACAATCCCTCCAGCCATGCTGCACTGGATTTTTCACTGGAGCTTGCCAATGATAAACAAACCTATGAATTCCTTAATTCTCCTTCCCTCATTAAAATAAATTGTGTTATCTATGCTCCCACAGCAATTTGCTCATACTCCTATTATGGCCTTTATTTCATTCTGCCTTTTACTAGAGTTAGTTGTCTGTGTCCTTGACTAAAGTATGTTTCTTGATGGCAACAACTATCTCATTCATCTCTGGGCCTTTACACAAAGCAATTGCTCAATGAACTAATGTGTAGCATCAATGCTCAATGAATTAAACAAATGAAAAGGAATGTTTGGTACAGGTAATGGAAAATCACAACTTATTTCCTCACCCAGGTGAGAACATAGCCTTCATCATTGTCCTGGAAACTGAGGGCCTGCCTAAGGTCACCATTGAGGTCAAGCTTTCCCAACTACGGATGACTGGAAGTTGATTTCAGAGGAGTGCTTTCAGGAGCTGATGACTGATTGAAGACAAGGAGGAAGATTTTCCCTCCAAAGTCAAGCTTTTAACAAGTATTTGGAATGTACACTGAGGGATTTGGCTGTACTCCAATTATGCTAATATGTTTTATATATGGGCTTCCAGCATCCAGAACCACCTCCCTAAACAATTTAATAAGTGTAAATATCAAGGCAGAGTTGTAAATGTGGAACTTATTTTTAATGTATCAACCTTGTTATTATCAAATGTCATAGGGTATAAGTCATGGCAATTATGCTGCCTGCTTTTTATTACATTTATTTTACTTTGTAAAAGTGCACTATATCCTCATAAGTGTCTCCTCTTCTGCTCTGCCTAAGTAACATACCCTGTCTATGTGTTCTGGAGTCACAGATCACAGAAACTTTAAGAGTCAAAGGATTAATGGGTATCCCTGTAGCAAAGAGATTCATGGGTCATCGGCTCCACCCACTGACACTATATCCTCCACATTAGGCTTCACTGTGTGTTTCAGCAATTCAAGTTGTGGGACCTTGTGGGTTTCTCCATACAAGAAACTTTATGGTCTAAAATACAGAATTGTTTCTTCTTCCTCCCTCCCACCACCTGAGCATGCAGATATGTGTATGTCCCTGTTACATAGAAGCTGACAATTTTGCACAAAACCTTCAAACTCTTGATTGCCAGTTTAGTGTGATACAGCCCAGAGCCACCTCCTAAGTGGTCTCTTGGCAGGTGAAAGTGAGGGGAAGGAGCCCTGATTTTTCTGGTTTGGAGCAGAAAGGCATCCACTACACCAGCCCATAATTCCCATTTCCAGGTAATCTCTTTCTCTTCCCCTCCTTCTTGCTTCTCACTACATTTCATCAACCACTCCAAACAAGAAAGGCAGGTGACTCTCTTACTCCATATAACTAAGCATTTTATGGCAACAGTTCTCTTTTCTTACAAAGGAGACCTTCTAGTCTATCTACAGGCTTCCCTGGTATTAATCTGCCAAGCTGCAGAAGTCTGTTGGTGAGTGAATTTATTTTTAAGGGTTTTGAAAAAGTGCCACTGTTTTCAAAGTTTCCTTGAAAGACAAGGACCAAAAAGAAAAAAATAGTAGTTAACCCTTGAACCTAGGAGGTTCTTCAGGAACATTATTTCCCTTAATCATAGCATACCCCCACCATTTTGCTTTATGATCCAACAAGCATGTTAACAACAAGCTATTTATTTGTTCATTACCTATTCCACAAATATCCACTGAGCAACTACTGTGTGACAGGCATTATATAATAGTGGGCAAAAATAGACATGATTCAGGTCTTCAGGAGCTTACAGTCGAGTGGAGGATGCCAATGATAAACTAATCTATACATGATTACAATTGAGTGAAGTGTCTAAGAAGGAAAGAATACAAATATTATAGGAGAAAATAATGTCATATGTGTGTGTGGTGGGGAGGGGGGCGTAAATTATACTGGGTGGTCAAGAACCACCTCTCTAAAGAAGTGATATTTAATTGGAGACCTAAAGGATGAGTAGAAGTTAACCAGGTGAAAGTGAGCATTTGTGTAAACACAAGGGAAATGAAACACATACGATGGAGTAATGTATTAGTCAGCTTTAGCTAGTTTGTACTATTATTACAAACAATAAAACCTCAGTTACCATAGCAAAAGTCCATGTGGCAACTACAGGTCATCTGTGGTTGTTTCACATGCTGAAGGAGGAGCCTTTATTTGGGACATGTCATTCTTACATTAGAGGGAAAAGAACAAAAAAATCTGAACCATGCCATGCCTCTTAAAGCTTCTGATCATATGTGGTAAAGGTCACTTTGGCTTACATTCCATTGGCCAAAGTGAGTTTTATGACCAAGCCCACATTAATTTGGCAGGGTTCATGGCAGGAAGCAGAGATGTGCTCTATAACAGGGAGGAAATATTAATACCTGGAAATAATATTGCAATCTACCAGAGCCCTTGTCTGACTTCCACCTATCCCTTTAATAGACATTAATTTCCCAGGGTCTCAGTTTCCTCATCTCTAAAAATGATATTTAAAATAACTAAAGAGAACCTAAGATGGGGTGTTCCAGGGTTGGGTCTGGCCCTCAAGTAAGGTAGCAGGTTAGGGGAATAAAAATTGTATAATCTAGAGCCTAAGTTTTCTCTACGTTTTCCTTTGGCATTTTATTTCAATTACAGTAATAGAAATAAAACAAGTTTTGGCATGCTACCTTGGCCACTAAGTAGCTGTGCTACATTGGGCAAGTTAGTTAAACTCTTGGACTATTGTAAGAATTATGTAAAATAATGTATGTGAGAACATTTTGTATATTATAATGCCATACAAATATAATCATTATTATATTTATCTCACTGCCAAGATCACCTCTACTAAGCCTCATCTGTTTCTCTCATACCCTTAATACCACATTTCAGCTGGCCACCTCAAGCTCACCATGTCAAAACTCAGAATTATCTTCTCTCCCAGGCAATTCCCATCCAGCTCCCACTCCAGACTTCATTGTGTTTATCACTGGCACTGATGTGCTGCTTCTTAATCACCAGGGTTAACAAAACTTCATTTTGTTTTTGACATCCACACCTCCACTCAGTTCTATCAATTGTCCCTTCACAGCATAGTATACATGGATCTCTTTCTGATTTCAAAGCCTCCACCCACATCCAGATCCCACTCCTTGATGACCGTAATAACTGTTCTTTCTGCCTATACTTTCACCCCTGTCCAAAGCAGCCATTTGATTATCTGATCTCCACACTCAAATCCCCACAGTGGCTCACCAAAGAATACAAAATTAAAATCCAAACTCTTCAGCTCGATAGCAAACATCCTCCAAATTTGGCCTAGCTCACTTTTCCCAAACTTCCCTTTCACTCTTACCCATATATCTCTGCTGCAGCCATCACAACCTAACTCACCATTCTCTAAAAATCTCCATTATCTAGATCAGCACTGGCCAGTAGAAATACAATGCAACCCACAGATGTAATTTAAAATATCTAGTAGCTACATTTTAAAAACTAAACAGAAACAAGTGACATTAATTTTAATATATTTAATTCAAGCCAGTATATCTAAAATATCATCCTTTAAACATGTAAACAATATAAAAGTTATTAATGAAGCACCTTACATTCTTTTTCATACTATCTTTTCAAAAAGCCCATGAACATTTTGTACTTTCACTGCATCTCAATTTGTATGCACTAGCCACATTTCCAATGCTTAGTAGCCATATGTGGCTAGTGGCTATTGTATTAGATGGCATAGACCTACCCCCACCCTGTGACTCAATGCAAACTTTGTCCTCTGCTTGAAATACTTCCCACTCAAACTGTCACCTGTGGAAATGCTACCTTCCAAAGACACAGCTTCATAGCCCACATGCTCTAAGAAGTCTTCAAAGATTCTCTCAACTGAAATTCATCTTTTCCCTCTCCCATACAACCATACACAACATTTTGTTATATATCTCTAAATGTTATGGGTAGATAATACATTCATTTGTTTCAAAACTCGGAGTACCAAAGAATATGTGTACAATTTCCCTGCCACCCACCCTAATCCTCTCCGCTGGAGGCAAACAATATTATCAGACTTTTGTGTATCCTTGCCAATAAAACTTATACATATATAAATACATTTGCAAACATACATTTCTTCCCTCCATCCTTTTTAAAAAATAGTGGTATATTAAACTTATCGTTCTATGCATTACATGTTTGTACTTAACAGTCTATATTGGAGATAATTCCATATTAGTATATTAAGTTTATCTGTCTCCCTGACAGGATAGAGATTTTGTCTTTTTTTTATATCCTTACATAGCTCTGCACCTTGGACTCTGGGACTATGCTTAATACTCAGTAAATGTTTGTTGAATTGAATTGCTCAAAGTGTTCCAGATTGATCATGCTAAAATGCTCTTTTGCATATGGTATCCCCAGCCCCATCAAAACATCATTAACTTCTGGCTGCCTGGGTGGCTCAGTTGGTTAGGCGACTGCTTTCGGCTCAGGTCATGATCCTGGAGTCCCGGGATCGAGTCCTGCATCAGGCTTCCTGCTCAGTAGTGAGTCTGCTTCTCCCTCGGACCCTCCCCCCTCTCATGCTCTCTCTCTATCTCATTCTCTCTCTCAAATAAACAAATAAAATCTTTAAAAAAAAACAAAACATCATTAACTTCTAATTGCCCACAGGATACACTTCACATTCAAGGACCTTTGCAGTCTGACCCAACCTTCCCTTCTAGAGTAATCTTTACTCCCCAGAGACACAGCCTTTTCTTTAACCAACAGGTGTCTTCACTGGAACTTTGACACAAGTTGGTATTTATGGTTACTGTGTGTGTGTGTGTGTGTGTGTGTGTGTGTGTGT